TCCCCTTCATTTCACTTTGCTGCTTTTGATTGTAAAGACCACCAACCAATCAACGAGACTTCAGAGTGAGGCTCCTCCCCCTCGGCCTCCAGGGCTCAGGTTTGCTGGTGTCTGGAGTGGGTTTTTTTTTTTGTTTTACTACATTTATGGATTTATCTTTAAATACATCAAAGACAACTAAACATGTAAATAAAACGACATGAATCTAAATGTTCTCGTTAAAATAGTGAAGTCCAGGTTCTCATACAACAACCATTTACACAAAAGTTTTTGCATTTTTAAAAAGAATGCAAATCTCTTTTTTGTCAATTGCCCCTTTGCTTTGTGTGAGTGTGATTTTTTACCTGTTGTGGTCAAACAACCAAGCTCCAGATATTCACTGTATGAGAAAACACCAAGAAATAACTATTTCTGTTTAGGTGCTGAGTTACAAAACCACTACTAAAATCAATGGAACCTGGTTGAGCTGCACAACGTGTTGCTACATTTGTTTATGTCTAACCAACAGTATCAGCTTTGCTGCTACAGCTTTCTGGCTTTTTGTTAAAGTTTGGGCCAAGCTTCAGGGTCTGGGTTTAACTACGTTTCCTTTTGTTGAAAATATTTCCAGACTTCTGACTGACTTTAAATCTACTCCCCAAAAAAACCAGCTTATCTCTGAGCTCTGTGAGCCCGGGGTGAAGAGCGCCACTCTGGATTTCCTGTCTATCTTGTTACAGTCAGAATACCTTCTCAAAGAGTAGTAGTAGTAGTAGTAGTAGAGAGAAAAAAAACTGCAATACTGAAGTACTAAAACTTATCTTAATCTTAAACTGCAATACTGAAGTACTAAAACTTTAATCTAAATCTTTATCTTTGATTAAATAACACAGACTACTAACAAGCCTAACGATGAGATGGAATCATCTGTCGGGGCTTTTGTTTCTGACTGACTGTGTCTGTAGTGCATAAAAAGGTGTGGTCTGTTCAGGTGACACGGAGTAAATCATATTTAGTTTAGAGTGTGTTCTGAGGAGGAGAAAATACTGAGCATGCATTCAACCCTGCTGTGGTTCTATCAGTGGTTCTCAGATCAGACTAGGAGGCGTCCATGTTGGCTGTGCCTGCTGCTGGAAGTCTTCAACTGGCTGTGAAAAAAACACCATCCTCTTCTCCCCTCCTCTGTCACACTTCCTCCTCTCTTTTTCTTGTGCATTCCTTGACAAAAACAGACTAAACTAAACTGCTTCAGCATGTCTCTCAACCAACGACAGCCTGATTTCACTAGGAACAGCCTGCGCTAACAACACTGACCTGAACCACTGGCCGTAGTAACTAAAACTAGTATGTGGAGAACCAAACCCTAGACCACTCTGAGGTCCGCAGCGTTATCTCTTCCAGCACCTTCCCTGACCGTGTCCCTGATGTGACACGTTTCTCTTTCCACCTTTGAGATGTTTGCTGCTCAACTCTAATTCCCTGGTTCGCTCTCCTCACCTCTCGGCTGCTTGGAAATATAAACAGCGACACGCCTAAACATGCCTTGATATTTTTAAGCTTTTCAAATAATCCATTGGATTTTCATTTATTTTTAAAATCCTAACTCCTCCTGCTGTAACTTCCTGGACACCCATGGGGTCACAGACCCCCTGTTGAACACCTCTGATTAGTTGAGTATGTATATTTACAGTATCTTTCATCAGAAATATTCCCTAACATGACAACAACAAATATCCATATATATCGATGAAACAGAAAGATAAATATCAGCCGCTAGATGTCAGTGTTGCTCCTTTTAAATCTGTTTGTTCTGGTTAAACCTTGGTTCTCTACATACGTTTCCATTCCAACATGTTAGGAGTTGATTTTTGGGTGGCTGGATGGTGGGACCATTTTTTAGCTGGTAGATGTTACCTGTTAACCCCTCCCTCCCCAAAACCCCC